CTCGGTGGTCGTGTACACTACACTGTCTACGTCCGCCATCTCTTCGTTCTACCCTCTTCCGTCTTCTGTCGTCGCGATGCGCTCTCCCTTAGGCGACAGAATCAACTGCGGACTGTCGTATTCGGGTAACTCTCTCGAAAGGGTAAGAAGGATACGAGGGAGGAGAATGAGAGGGGGAGAAAGAGAGAAAAAAAGAAAGAGAGAGAGAGAGAGAGAGAGAGAGAGAGAGAGAGGGAATCCGCGAGTTTTTCGACGTCGATTTGGAAAAAGAAATCGGAGCGGCGAGACTACTGGATCCGGGGCTACTACTGCTCAGCGGCTTTCGAGCTTGCGAACTGACTGAAATCTAGGATCGGCCCGCTCCGGGCGTCATCATATCGGGACGCTATTTTCGGCGTCCCGACGACTCCAGAAACGCGCCGCGCGTGTCCCCTTGTCTCCTCTTCGCCACCCTCTCCGACGTCCTTCCACACCCTTCTCCCTGCCATCCGACCGTTCTCGTCTCTCTCCTCCACCCTTCTACTCCTTCGTCTCTCTTTTGGCGTAGTCTCTCCTCCTCCTGAATCTTGATGCAGTGTGCCGGGTGCAACTTTTCTACGCCCGCGTCTTCTCTTTCTCTCTATCTCTCTTTTTCTCTCTTCGCCTCTTTTTCCTCGAGTTTCTTCGAGCTTCTTCGAGTTTCTTCATCCCGCTCTCTTCATCTCCGTGTCGCTCCTTTTGTATGATTTTCCAGTTCAGATATCAGTGGCCGATCTTCTCGATGACATCTTCGCTCCTTCTCCCACTTTCTCTTCTTCTTCTTCTTCTTCTTAGAATTCTTCTTTTATGAGTATTTATGGAGCAGCCTGTATCTCGCAATTTGCGCGAAGAAACGGAACGGGGTCGATGTAGTCTGACGCGAATTCCGGAGGAACGGTTTTGCTTCGCGCAGCTCCTGAGAATTCTTCGATCCAGAAGGGGAATTTCCGACGCGGGTGTACGCTTCATTAAATTCATCTCTCTCTAGTTTTATCCTCCGTGTTAAATCGTTGATGTCGCATCGCCGTCGCTGTCGCCGTCGCCGTCGCCGCCACTGCTACCGCATGCGACAGTCGCGAAAATACTCGGCGAGGATTCATTTTTCATAGCAAAATGCATGTTTGAATAATCGGTTTTAGTAATTTACGGCTGCGAGTTACTATCGACCTCAATCGAACTAATGTAACCAAGAATTGTGAACATACCACTTCTATTAATATTTTGGAAAAGGAATAATAGTTTTCCTAGCAGCGCTTCTCATGTCTAACAATAAAATCAGACGAATATTAATGCTTAATTATCGCTTCGTCTATATAAGTAATCTATTAATTCTCCATAGCTGACGTAGGTTTATTAGATCTATTCAATATTATGTCCCTTCGAAGTTGACGATGGATCTTCTCAATTATAAATTTATTTGTAAAAAGTATTAAACAGTTTAATTTTCTTTATTACATTTGCAATTTTAGATTATTCTTGTCAAAATACAAGTATCTAATTTTTGTCATTTTGATTTTTTGAAATTAATACCTTCTAATTAACATAAATTAAATGGATCTTATAGACCCAGCGTCAGTAAACAGATTTTAGTATCAGCTCCGGAAGATTAAAAGTGCAAAGTGTAATTAAACGTTTATGGTTTAATTCTGATAGCTTTGATTTGAATATGAAAATCGTTTCTTCAATATTCTTTACAATTTGTCGTGTGTGGAATGAAAGTTCTTACAAATTTACTTTACTACAATAATTATTTATTTAAAAATGATTATTTATAACTCTCAACGTCTTGATCTTGTATATTCGCAAATAAATATCAGACGTTGCTTATAAATAAAGGGAGAGACACGAGGAAATATAAATGTTGCGTGTGTTTCGCTTCATTGGTGAAGCTTGAATAATGATTAATTAATCTGTTCGCAAAGGTTACTACAATAAAAGTAACTCGCGTTCGTCGGGAGACAACAAATCTTTGATAGTTCATAAAAGCACCGTATAAATATTGTTTAAGAATGACGGCGAGCGATCATAAATCGGACCGTTTACGATCAACTGCGGACGCTCCACTCGCAACTTTTGACAGCTTTGCAATAAGACGCGCTGTGTCATCGTAACGTTGTGACATTTAGTGTTATATCTATATTTTTTAATTTTATGCCTAGCATCAAAAATAGAAAGATCATCCTTTATTAGTGCGTTCATTCTTACTGTCGTACGTTCCTCGAAAGTATCGGATTGCCGAGATGCACGACGATAAAAATGTACAATCGACACTCAGTATTTCTGTCGAATTTTTTTCTTCGAGTCTACCGAAAAAAAGCCTCGCTGCGGCGCCTTGATCTCCTGCCAAACAGGTGGTTCCGGGCGTGCGTGGGAGTGTGGAAAAATAGAACTCGAATGAAAAGTAAAGATAGAGACAGATAGAGAGAGAGAGAGAGAGAGAGAGAGAGAGAGAGAGAGAAGAAGCAATCGGCGAAGTAATTGGGTCGGAATGTTTCACACATCACCAATATCCCCCTCTCCCCCAACCACCTACGCGCGGAGAAAACTCGCGCGGACATTAATCCGCGTGACGCGAACTGGCAGGTTCTTGCGAATGATGAGAATGTATATAAGATTCAAAAATATATATGTGTCAATATATCTTATGTATATATATATATATATGTATTTTTTTTATGTTTAGAATTTCTAAGAAAAAAGGAATATGTATATACAGGCAATTTTAAAATTGACAATTTCTATTTGTGATTATTGGAGACTACCGAAAGAAAAAATATCTTCTATTCTTTCCAATTTTTCTCGAAAAGCTATGGTTTAACTCATAAGATGCTGCCAAAATAACGTACTTTAGCAATAAAAATAAACTATCCTCAATTTATTGCGTTTTATTGGAAGAGGTGGAAATAAAATTCAAAGAGAAACTGACAAAATATTAAAATTATTACAAAAATAAATATTCAATAAAACTGATTTTTAATTTATTTTTCGTTAAATGTAGAACGTTTAAGTAAATAATCAAGACATCGAAATGTCGTAGCAGAAATATAATATCAGTAATATAATATCTTGAAGGCCGGAAGAGAGGGTGAATTAAAAATATTCAGACGACACTTCGCGACGCGAAAAAAAATGAGACATCTGATGAATTTCGGCGTCGACGGCAGAGTCTTGTCGCCGTGTAAATGTCGTGCTAGATGCGCGCGCGCGCACGTGTACATATATTATTTGCAGGCGGGTATGAGATTGATATTTTGGGAGACCCCACGCGAGAAGCACACGGCACCAATAAACGCCGCGGCACCGCCGAGGATTCCGCGCAAATATCAAATGCGTTTTGTTATGGCGTTTACGTATTGTTCAATTGTGAAAGCACCCCCGATTGCGAAATTGCACCCCTCACATGCTCGAGGAATCGTTGATATGAAACAAAGCGAGCGGCGTTAATTGATTTTCAGCGCCAACTGCTCATGAAATCTGAATATCGTTGTTTCATGAGACATCTTGAGCATAATTTAATTCTAATTTTGATGGACGCACTCACATGTTAATATTAGTCGGTTCCTCGACTGGCAGAATGATTTTGCATTGCCAAAATAATGGCTCCTTTACTCATCTGCTATTAGATATTTTTAAATATTACTTTGCGTAGTCAATTTTAAAATTGTTTGTATATATAAGAGATAAGATTGTACAAACACGAATGAACGAAAAGAGCCCTTTCAAAACAGATTTTGGTGTCAAAAATAATATTTTTATGTAAATTTTACAATTTCCAATTCAAGCAAACTCCGCACCGATTATTTTGAAATAAACATTTTACATATTCGAGATATTATATTGTGATTATATAATCTGAGAGATAGTTGAAATATTTATCTTTATATTTATTAAAAATTTAATATGCTTTAATTACATTCAATGATCAACTAGATTTTCATATATTTGGACAGTTGTAATGCCAATACTTGGCTACTAGTTTCACGAAAGTGGGCGAATATGTCTGACAGTAGAGAAGTGCGTGGGATTCTTTAGTAACGAATGCTTGCTTTGCGTAGCCAAATATTCGAAATATTTTGGGAACAAGTATTGCGCAAGATCGGAAGCAACTTGTGCGAGATTCCACGCGCCGTATGTCCGAACGTGAAGGAGCTTTTCCTTGCAGTAAAGTATGAAAAATAAAGTTAATGAACTACCCGGTTCATCCAACTTGTCTTGTCGAATAACGTTTATTGACACATTGGACGCGCGAAATAAAGTAAACCAACAATCAACGGAGATTATTTTTAGTCGTCAAATAACGGTGGATATTAAAAGACTCCATTCGTTGAAACTTGCTTGCTGTGCCTATAAATATATGATTTTTGAACGTAACAAATAAATGTTCTAACTGTACGTAAATCCCCGCTTTTTTAATTTATTTCATACAGATTAAAAATCCGCAATAGCTACTTCAGCTGGTCGATTATAATGTCAAAAATGCAAGTTCACACATTTTTTTTATAGCTAACGTAAATGGCTTTCGTCAAATATAAACTACTTTAATTCAATAAATACATACCAAATGTTCCATGTTTAATAATTTACGTATAGAATAATTATTAACACCGTTCAATCTCAACCGTTTCTTTTTAAACTATTTTAAATTATTTTAATTTTTATTTTATGTTTTTGTTATTATATATAGATTTTTGAAAGAATTTCTAACTTACTTTATGAGAACATTTTATTTGATTTTTGCCACAAACAATGTTTTATTTGTAGGTACATAATTACAAGTATTTATATGGATTTATATACCCTCCTCCCTCCTTCCTTATAAATTTCTCATATAATATCTTATAATAGTAACTAACTTTGTTAATTAAAATATGATGAAGCTTATAAAAATTAAATGGAATTAATTAAAAATTGAAATTAGAAAATAACAAAGAATAAAATTAATTATGTCAAATGTTTCGCATAAAGATTGAAAGTAATGAAGATTTTTTTTTTTAGGAGGACAAAATAATCAAATTACATAGATTAAAATTATGATTATCACTTAAAATACATTTTTCAACGATTTATATATCAGACGATCATCTAATTGTTTGAAAATTTTCCATATTTTCATTCAATTACAGTATCTTGAAGAACATAATTATAGAAACGATAATAAATTTTATATCGTTTGCAGTGTACTCACGTATTGCTGAAGATTTTTGCATGTTGTTATTGTATTCTAGAGATCGATTATATCGCTGAGCTATAAAAAGAATTACCATATTGTAGTGTATTAACAGAAGCTGAGAATTTTATAATTGCACGAATCTGATTAATTATTAGAAAGTTCAATATAGAAACGTAATAATTATTTGATATTGTTTTTTAAATCGGAGTATATTTATTATTTTCTTAATAGCTATATAATCGAATAATATGTAAAATGAATTTGTAATTTATTATTTTTTATAAATTTTAAAGAAAAAAATTGATATATAAAAATATAGGTGCAGATTATTATTTGATAACGAAAAAAAACCAAATTTAAAAATCTAATTATCTGTAAAATATAAAAAATTAATTAGAAGCATTGAAATTATGATAAAAGGTATTAATAGTAGCTCTCTAATCAAATTAGCAACTATTAATATTTTTTATTATAATTTCAATATTTCTAATTAATTTTGTATACTTTGAAGATATAACAATTAATCTTTTAAATTTGGATAATAAATTAGAATTCATATATTTTATAGTATAGAATAAAAATTTGAAATATTATATTATTTTATATCAGTTCCATCATCTTAGATCCGAATAATGATTACACGATTATTTCCAACTAAGAATTTATGCAATTATAAAACGCATGGCTTCGATTCAATTACCCAGAATGCTTTGTTCTGATCGGTGTCAGGGATTGTGTACTGTATAGGTGGTCTTCCGGAACTCACATCCTCCGCGTCCACGAATTCATCATCCTCTTCGAGCGATGATTTCGATCTCGAGTCTTCCCTTCTCCTCCAAACGCTCGACCCTTTTGAATTGTCGAAAATAACATCTTTGATTCTTTCGTGGTCCTCCTCGCTGGCGTTTTCGAAACTAGATACTTTCAATTCCTTCGTCTTTTTCTTCCGCGATCTTTCTACGGACGTGACTGCATTGGTTGCCGTGTAAATCTGTTTATCCTGATCATCCGACTGATCTTTCGAGCTGGACCGAAACCTTTTGCTCTTAAAGGACTTTCTAGCGGAGCTACCTCGAAAGGACATATCCCTTCTGCTCTCGGAGAGTCCGATGACATTGTTAACTAGCTCCTCTAAGGCTTCGTCATCCAACAGCATCTCCTCCAAAACAGTCTGTACTTCTACCGAGACGCTCTTTTTACTTTCCGATCTGGATAACGATGGACTGTTAGTTGGAGACGTATTCGTTGACATATCTCGCAATAAGTCGCGCACCGTCTGCACGGATATGTCAGATTTGCGACGTTCCGGATCTTTCTTCGACTTCTTTATGCTCAAATTTTCTGCAGATTTACTGATCTCCGCATTCTTAGATTTCAGTTTGGTAGGTTTTCTCAAGATCGTCGTGGAGGATTTACCCGATTTAGGTTTTTTCTGGCTGACGAAGGTCTTCTTCTCTTTTTCAGTCTCTTCGATAGTTGGCTTTTGGGCAGTCGAGTCAATTTTCGTAAGGTCATTTGAAAATTTCTTAATTTTTTTGGAAACGTCGACATTCTTCGATTTCTTTGATAAATCTGGAGATTTGGAGGAAGATTTCTTCAGTGTTCTTCGCGTGATCTTTTTCTCCTCGTGATCAGATTCGTCAACTGACGAAGCCGACTGTGAATCCTTGTACCTCTTGATGATCGGAGGAAAGCTATCGAAGGAACTCATGGTGGGCGCATCGTTGCCCGAGTCCTTGTCGAAGGATGTGTCCACTTCGCTTGAGGAGACAGATATTTTGTTTTCTTCGTGAGCAAACGTCGGGATCGGTGTAGGTACCCTGACATACTTTTCTGGCTCTGGCGGGGCTAGCGATCGCACGACTTGCTGTAAGCTTTGTCGAATTTCCGTATTGATTTCCTCCAAGAATCTTTTCGTTTCGTTATAATCATCGTTATAATCATCGTTGTCATCGTTATAATATCGATCGGCTTGGATGATCCACGTTTCATCGTCTTCTCGCATGAGACAACTCCAGTCTGGGCTGAGCCTTGAATCTGGACTGAGCCTCGAGTCTGGTCTGGAGCCGCCAAGCAAATATCTGGTGCTGCATTCCGATAAGGTACTTCGACCGTCGAAGTTTTTATCCAAAGACCGGAGTTCGCTTCGCACTCTCAGACTGTATTCGTGCAGATTTTCGAGTTTGTGCTTAGCGTCACGAGGAAGTCTCACATCGGTCGAGTGACTAAAACTGCAGAGCGAATCATGAATGCTCTGAATGTCATTGTTAGCCGGCTTGTGATATGAGAGGCATGGTGTTGGCGGATTGATGCTAATCACTACGCTGTCAGATGCGTGTCGTAGGCACGCCAGCAGCTCCAAGACGCCGACGCAGCCGACCAATACCGATAGCAATAAACCCATCTTCGAATTAATTATTGAGAATGGTTCAAGTTATCTTATGATACTTGGATTCATCTTTGAACAAGGAATTTTATGAGCTTTTCTTGTAGAGAAAAATTTAAATACATTTAAATTTTTACAAGACTTTTTTACAGGGAATTCTTCGATTATTGAAATTGCAATTTCGTTTATATCGATTACTAGTTATATTTGTTGTCTCGTTGCCTAATACATATGAGTAGTCTCGTTCAATTAGCTATAAATAATTACATTCTGGCAGCGTTTCGAAAGATGATCTAATTCTTCACTTTTCATCAAATAAGATCGTATCGTTGCTAATATTAACTTCACTGACGTCAAAACCAATACTAGGAGACTTTTATTAATAATTACAAACATATGAACCTTAATTAAAAATTTTTAAGTAAAACTAAAAGATTTGTTTCTACTCTCGTTGTATGCGATTTATTAATTTCTTTCTGTCTCAATTGAAATGATTAACTAATTGTTGTCACATAACCAAAGAAAGAGAGAAAGAAAGAGCGCCAATTCGCTGAAGATTATTATACGAGTCTTCGGAGTTACACGCCTACCTTCTTTCAAATTAGTCACGATTTCACCGCGCGATATACGAATTTTCTCTCTGCGTATATAATCGAAATTTGTAATCTTACAAGTTTGTACGAATACTCTGCATTTCGATCGATGAAAAATAATTTTGGCACACGCCAACGGTACGAGCGCGAAAATCCAATCGCAACACTTGTATTGTGCTTCGCATTCGCACAGGAATCTCAGCGAGATATTCTTCGCCTGATGTCAATGTCTTCCCGAGAGAATATTCAACGAGAATCCCGACGTGAGATAAATTCGAGATTTCGTGATATTTTTCACAGTTGTGTTCAAATAGAGAGAGATACAATTGACGAGAAATTCCATCTTAGGTAACGTTCTCAGGGATATTTTTCTGCATCCTTCCAAAGATTCATCTCATCGGTATTCTGATAGTTCTTTCTGAAAGCATCGTCCGGATGGGAGCCTTCGACTTTTCGCGCGAAGCAACCTCGTGGCCTCAGCGACGTGAGCACCGGTCTCTCGTAAGCACGGTAGTAATTCTTGGTGTCGGTGACGTCACTGAGAAGACAGACGACGATTACGTGATTCTGAGAGGGGGGCCGGACCACCCACGCGTCCACCACTAAGAAACGTTCTCCACTCGTCGACGAAGGCGTGTTGCGACGTCTCTCGCTCCCTCTTTCTCCTACTTTTCCTTTCTTTCTCTCCCTTTTGGCGCTCGGTATCGGAACAAATGAACGGCTACCCGAACGCGAGGATCATGTCCGATCACGCGATTATCGGCTTATCCATGCAGCCGGATGGCGGCCGAAGCACTGTTTTATTTTCCGCGGGCAAAAGCGGCTGGCCAGGCTGGTGGCCGTCGGCTCGTTATGTCTCGACGTCGACGTCGACGTCGCGAAACGTCGGTTACGACGTGCGGGGCCCGGCTAAAGGCTAAAGTTAGCCCGAATGTCCCTGAACACGAATCCCTGTCCTTAATGCACGATGCGATGAACGGCGCGATCGATCGGTGCGGATGATAATTAACGATGCTGATCCGCAGCAGCAACAGCAGCAGTCGCCGTTGCTGCCACGCTGGTTGCCAATATCGTTGACCATTGATCGTATCCGTTCAATAATCGCAGCTTGTTAACGAAGAGAAAAGCAAACTCACCGATGTTCGAATGCGAACGCATCGAATGCGACTCTCGTTCGTTAGAACGACCCGAATATTTCAACCACGTGATGACGCTGGTAATTTCATATGGCTGCCAGAAGAGCAGATCTGACGTATTCAAGGAGGTAAACAAAATTTTTAATATATTTTTGATGAACGTGATACATCAATTTGGCTCTTAGCCACTAATGATTAACTGATTCATCTCGAGTTCTGATCGTCTGATAGCTCAGGTCGATTTCGCTCGAGTCGGTTAACTTTAATTGTAATCTCTTGGATACTGCGCCTTTCTCTATCATAAGGTAAGATTAAGATAAAGACTCCATTACATTATTGCAACGTTAATGGAACATGAAGTATAAGAATTAACTTCACGATAATCCTATAAGCAGTTTTATATATGTTATAACACAATGACAATTCTTTGTTATCGCTTTACATCGATGATTAAGCATCTAAAGTCTCTCTCGTATTTTTATTAATTGCAAAAGTTTCCTTCTATTTTCTTTCAACGTATGCAAATTGAAACAAACAAAATATATCTAGAGATAGAGTTTAATTCATTCAGTTCAAACAATTCTAAATTTATTGGAGGAAAAGGAAAATACACATTTCCATACGCAAACAACAAAGTGGAAGCTGAATTTCGCGCGACTATTAACACGATCAAGAATAATTTGATTGCAATTCTAAACTCGCTCTGCGTGCAGTCTCTGTATTCGATCCGCCAGATACACTCGCTCTGTACATTCGACGTTTAGAGGCGCATTGCGCCGAGCGATATTTACGCATGGCCGACTGTGGTAAGCCCGCGAACAGAGTGAGTTTCTGGCGTCACCCGATAGATTTTATTTCGGTTACTTCATCGGTTTGTATGGATCAACGTCAGGATTCACGATTCCCGATACCGCGAGTTTTGCGCGCGGTACATCGCTCTGGCGCATCTCCAACAAGAAGATATCGGTGCGGCGGCCCCAAATCGAGCCTCTTATCGAACTCTCGATGATCTACATTCGCGCGATGCGATTCGAATGCGACGAAATCCAAGGAAGTCGGATTTCACGGAAGAGATGAGCGTTTCCTACGCAGTCACTCGTCAATTTATCGCGTCCGCAAGTGAGCAAACAAGATAACGATGTGACAAAAATGCAGATACAACGAGAACACGTGCTAACATGCTTTGTCTCATCGACGAATTGAATACGTGCGATATTCAGAAATATTTTACTCGACATAGCAGGCGCAACGTTTAAAGACTTTTTAATGTCTAAAAAAAAATATGTTATAAAAAAGCGAATTTTTGAGTAAGAAATAAGGAATAATAAATTTCAACCTATTAAAAACCAGATATACAGAAATACGTGGTTTTTGATAGGTCAAAATCTGTTATTTCTTATTCCTTTCATTATGTGTATTAATTGTAAACTACAAGCAATAAGATCCATTTGTATTAGAACTTTTACGTAATTGATTCAAATTGCTATAATTGAGTCATTTTCGAATAACCCGTTAACGTAATTAATATCGAATATTAACTGTGTTCAGCATAGAAAACTGATCAATGATTCTTAATATGATTCCTACACTTACTAGATCAGCGAAAAACTAAAGGCAAAAACCAATTGTATTGAGGAATCATTTTGATCAAGTTTCTTTGTTGAATGCAGCCATTGTCTTTGAATGATGCATTTATATCGCGAGTTTTAAGATAGTGTTAATCTCGTTTTTATTTCATTAACAATGAATAAATTTTGCAACGCTAAGTACCACGTATTTTATGTAGGATATGATTCAGTCTTTTCTTGATGCAATTTTATATGATACGTATTATCTATAAATCCTATTAAAAGTTGTTAAGATATCATGTTAAAAAATCATTTTTTTAAAGGTGTTAGAATAAGTATTGAGATAATAAATATCATAAATGTGAAACATTTTTCCCAGTATCTGTCTACTTTTCCTTGATAAGTAAGTTCAGAAAATTGCAGACGCACTTCCAATAAAAAATAATCGCGCCAAGGACCGCTGAATTTATAAAAAATCTCTCCATAAAAACAGCAAATAAAGAATTATGAAATCATTTGGAAAAAAAAAACAATAATATTATACTTTAATAACTTTTAATAATTGCCACATAATAATTGTTTAAATATTATTTTAATTAATTTTTTAGATCAGAATATTCATAAAGCACTCAAAAAAGAAGTGTTTAATTTTAAGATATTAAAATGTTTTATTCTTGTCTCCGTTCCTTAAACGCTTAAAGATGTTTTAGTTTTAAACTTTGTCAATAAACTAGTGTTTTAAATCCAAATACATAGTGTTTTATTTGTTGAAAAAGTTTAAAGCATTCTTTAAGTGCTTAAAAAATGGAGACAAGAATAAATTTCAATATCTCCAAATTAAACGCTTCTTTGAGAACACTTGTAATATCTTTAATTCAAGACTCAAGTTCTCGTTCATATTTTATTAATGCTTTTTCGTTGAAGCGCGATACGCTCCATTAAAATTCCACGAAGACGTGCAATGGAATCGGAGAATGAAGAATCGCGAAACACGCGAGACACGAGTGGGTGATGGAGCATCGACTGCGCAATCCACCCGGACCACTTCCCTGACTAGCGCCGAAAATAAACGTATACGTCGACAGCGTATCGGATGCAAACTAAAATAAATCGGCGCTGCCTCTTGCGACGCGACGTCTCGCTCCGCGAATTTACTCGTCAGATTATCCGACGCCTCGTGTATTCACTGGCACGCAATTAAGAAATCATAATTAAGAAATCTTTCACTCAGTAAATGATCCGCAATATAAAAGAACATAGCCTCAACATTAATCTCTATACAGTTACGTTTTTGTAAATACGGTAAAAGATCATTTTCTTCTTATGCAATCTACATGTAAAAAATATATCGGTGGTTTTGAAATTGATTCGAAACACACATTATTTTGTTAGCTCTGTTAATCATTGTTATCGTGCAGTTTTTTTGACACATTGCTTTTATTAATAATAATGCTGCTATTAGCGATTTTATGAATTAAATTTCTCGCTAAATTAAATTTGTATCTTTAGCATCTTGACATTCTATTGAGAAATAATAATAATATCGGTATAACAAGTCTTTCACTAACTAGATATTACGTGAAGAAAAGGCACGAACTAAAGAAAAAAAAAACAAATAAAGGAAGGTAATATGAAAAGGAAATAAACAATAACAGAGACGTCAACAAATAATATCATTGATAATATCAATTTGACGTTATAAATAGCGTCATGGTATTCAACAGTGAGTCGTTAAAACATTAAGCATACAATTCGGACTACTACGTTGTCGAAAAGTAAATTGGACTCGCTGAGTGGAGGACCTTGACTCTGCCCGTAAAAGCCAAGAACAGACTCGGAGCAGGTCTTTCTCACGCGTGTGCGCGCCTTTCGCAGGTAATAGCTAATCGATGAACCGTAAAAAAGCAACATCAAACACTTTGACTCCTGAGAAAGATCGATTGGTACGTAATCTAGACGTAGAAGAAACGCGTGCTCGCGACATCGTATCCTATCAGCGGTGGCGGCGGCGGCGGCGACGGCGACGGTGGAGGTCGAAATTAGTCGACCTCCTTGCCCGCACCCGAGAGAGCCGGTTCTTCTGGAGGGAAACGGAACAATGCCAATGCTATTTCGGTCGATGATCGAACGGCGGTGGCCACGGTCGAAGAAAAGCGGGCCACCGGATCTGAAAAGCCCCGCAACTCGTTCGCGAGCCGACCGATTTAGATTAAAACGGCGGAACTAAAGTCCAATCCGTCAGGATTATTCCCTCAGGACCGCAAGTCCTCGTCTTGCCGCTTGGCATCCAGGTATGCCTATAATATCGAATCGGCCGTGATCTCGTTTCGCGACTCACAGAATCGTTGATATACTGCTCTTTCTCTCTTTCCATATATCTTACTCATTTTGCTCTCCGCCGTTTCTTTTATCTTAACTTTAATATATGTTGGTGGCGCATGACCCAAATTACGTCGTACAAACTTGTTTTTGTCGCGAAATATTTCTTATTGGACCCTGTAATCCATTATCCTATCGGATTGCATAACTCTTTGCAAAACGACTTGGAACAGCGAACTTTAACGAAAAGTAAATATTTTTTATTCACAAAATTTCTTATTGGAATCATTTATGATAAAGCAAATTAGCTATCTGCAGCAAGTGTAATTTATCTAAATTGAACTTTAAATCACATACAATTTAAAAATAAACATTCTCGAATTAATTGAAAAGTTTTAATTTATCGTAAAAATATTTTTCGGACTGAAAACTGTTTATCTTAATCAATAAGTATCGGAAGTAATAGTGACAGGCTCAGTCTGGCCGATCGAGATGAGAGACGTAACTCTGGCAACCAGGAAATGGTCAAGTGCAAAGACCTAGTTAGAATGCCTGGCGTCCGAGAGACGTGCAACCCCTTGCCATTACAAAGCGTTTCTTACTGACGAGTGTCACTGACATTCTAATTATTTTTGTTAAACGTCTCATTCATCATCGATTTACGAAACGTTGGCTGTTATTGCAGAGGAGTGGTATTGCCATTTATATCGTGCTACTCGATCGTAATAGTTTATCATCCGTTTAAATATTAATAAATATTATATGTATAATTAAAATAATTTAAAACAAATTAGATCTCGAAATAAATTGGTTAAAATATTATTTTTCAAGAGAAATGAATTATATTATTATATAATCGAGTGAATGAGTTATAATTAACACAAATCAGCGCATTCACAGATACATTTTTAGCTGTTTGAGTTGGCATCGAATTTTTACGAACAAGTAAAAAACGATCTTTCGCTACTAAAGCTTTAATCAAGATTCAAATCATAATAAATCGCATCTAAAAGCAAAGCTCGACCTTGCAAAATTGGCACTATAACTAGACAAAACGGCAAATTTTCGGTACACAACTATTTGTTTGCGTTATGTTGTTTCTGTTATGTTTTCAGTTTATGACTTTGCCAACAATAAATTGGTACACGAAATGACTGCTCGATAAATCACTTTAGCACGAATGTCCGTGTAATGTTGCATCTTCGAAGCACTACGATTAATTTACGTGAAATATGAAAATAATTTTAAGCGTTTATTATTTTTGTATTATTTTTTTTACATACAGTATTAATTTTAAATTATTTTTTTAACTTATTTCTAAGATGACAAAAAATTTATTTCATATTAAAACCAGCCTTCAAATTTTTATGCTACAAATATATGAAAATCTATATGATTTATAAATTAATATTTTATATTATATATTAACGTCTCTAAAAACAATTTTTTTAGTGCATATACACACATAAATTAATACTCAATTGCCTAACTAAAATTCAAGTTAATTCAGCTATACAAAAAAAT